TGGCCACCTTGGACTCCGGACTGCTCCTGGAAGTGGTGACTGCAGACACAAAGGGGGCGTCTGCCCTGCCTCTGGCGCACCGGCCACGTCTCTGGAGGAGCGGACACCCCACCAGCAGAGCAGGGACAAATGACAGGGCTGGATCGGTGGCTGGACCACGAGGGCACTCGCTAAGTGGGAGGAGAGGGGCAGACACAGCGCGGCCTCAGGGGCTGCACGGATGCGCGGTCCTGGCTCCTGGCGGCCGGCGCCTGGCAGCGCGTCCCACACTTGCAGCCGCTTGGGGGGGGCCCAGCACAGGGCCGGGGTGAGGCCCGGAAGGCGGGGCCTGAAAGGAGAGAGCACACAGCAAGGAGGGGACCGCAGGGCATGTGCCGCGGCAGGACAGACGCATCTGGACGGGACTTGTGGGGAAGAAAGGGGACAGAGAGGAGGAAGGCAGCCTTGGGCAGCTGGTGACGGAGGAGAAAGGAGGGCGGGGGAATCGGGCTCGCAGACAGAAGAGGGCACCGTCCTTGGCACAGACAAGACAGGCTCTGGTGGCTCAGGAGCCCAGACCTGCCTGCACTTTGCTGGGAGGACAGAAGGGGGCGCTGTCGGGCTGAGAATCCACACACCCCTCGCCAAGCCCCTGCAGATGGCTCGGGAGTCCACACTGCAACGGAATTAAAGACACTCAAACCACCATCTCAGAACAGGCAAAACACACGGAATCGGAACGCGACACTAAACCAGAAATGGACCAGAAAGACAAAGCGAAGGAAAGGACATTAACCTCTGGGAAGAAATGGGAAAAAAAAAAAAAAAAAAAAGACAAAATCCTCACAGAAAAGATGAACAACGACAAAGCCAACAAGGGAGGGTCTACTGACAAGACAAGCCACAACGAAGGGGAGAGGGAAGGGGGGACGGGGAGAGGGGAGGGCAGAGGCAGGACGGCCACCAGGTCCTGCGGGAGAAAACATCCGATCAGAACTAATCTTTACAATTATGATCCAAGGAAACTTCCCCTACATAGAAAGAGACCTGAACTTACAACTCAGAAGGACTTACTGAGCATCTGAAGAAACTGGCCCGGAACAATCCACCCAAGACGTACCCTGGCGGGACCGCGAGGTCTCACAGGTGCACACACAACCCCGCAGGCCTCCAGGACACAGACCCGTTAACCAAATCAAAGGAAACAGGCCCACCAGGCTGGTCAGAACCACACGCAAACCAAGGCGGCGACGGAGGCACCTCTCCGAGAGCCTCAGTGACACAAAGTGTGAGCCGAGAACACACACACCCACACTAGTGTCCTTCAAGTGTCACAGGCACAGGAATACAGTTTCAACAGACAGAAACCTAGGGAATTCTGGGCCCACCAGCCCTTTTGAGGAATCCGCTACAGCACGTGCAGGCAAACGATTTCCACGAGAGGCCACGCCGTCTGCACGGCAACAGCTCCACTGTGCCAGTGTGGACAAGAACACACACACGCACGGCGCACAAGAGCGCACGGGCAAGCACCTGGATGGGACAGCCCTCGCAGAACCATCCAGGCGAAGGCTGCAGCGCTCGCCCGGGGAGCGGTCACTGCTGGGCCTCGGGACTCTCCAGACAGCGCACAGAGTGCAGCGAACACAGGCAGCCAGTAAGAGAAAGCGCACGCCGTCTGATTCCACGTACACAGAGATCCGGAAACTGCACGGTGATGGACAGCGAGGGTGGCTGTGCCGGGCACAGGGACAGCAGGGTGGTCTCAGGCCACCAGCAGTCTTGTGAGCACGCGAGCTTCCCGGGGCAGACCAGCTGGCCGCTTCCGACACGCCAATTACATGCCAATTCCAACATGCCAATTCCACCCCCATAGCCTGACAGGGAATGTTAATTTCTTCTGTGACAGTGAGAGCCACTGCAGCACACACAGGAGACAAACTACACGGCCGCGGCCACGGGGAGCCTCTGAACACGGGCTGGCTGGTCCCATCAGTGGTTCACATCAGTGATGTGATGAAATTATTAGTAATCTTCTGGGGTGTAATGACACAGTCTTTCCGAGACATGTGCTGTGACATTGATGAGTGACACGGCACAGCCTGGGTTTTGTGTCAGATGATGGGGGTGGGGGGTGGGGCGGGAGGTGGGACATAACTGAAACCAACCCGGCCGAGAGCTGGAAACGCTGAGGCGAAGCGGCACTGAGCGCCCTCGCACGACTCCCTCCGCTGCATCATTCACAGTCATCAGAATAAAAGGTCTGCCCATCACGTTCATTGGGTAACTCAGGGGGAGCAGGGCCAGAAACCCAGAGAGCGGCTCACCAGCCCACCGCCCAGGGCCCGTGCGCTCCAGCCCCCCGCTCCGAGCTGGGGGAGGGGGGGAACATCCCACTGCGCCCGTGTCAGGGTGACCTTCCCTGGTCTCTTAATGGCGGGCGAGGACACAGGTTCCCCCTCGACGTCCCACCCTGGAAGTCAGCTTGAAGACCACTGCCGTCTGCCGGCTCTTGTCGGGGGTGGGGGCAGGTGCCCGCGCTCAGACGCTAAATCCATCCAGTGTGCGGGCAATGGGGTCACTCAGAGGCACACGCACACAAACTGAGGACTTTGCTTGAAAACAAATTTAATTATGGCATGTGATGAGAAATGCACAGTAGCTCATTAGAAAATGGTAATTTTGGTGACACACTATGGGAATTTTCACTGATAGAAAATATTTCCTTTGTAAGCGAGTGACGCTGTGGGGTGCTTTGTGAGGCAAACGTAAGCCTTCAGTGGTAGAGTCCTAAATCGCTGTGGCATGGGAAGTCAGGCTGGACCATTCCAGAAGACGCCCCCCCCCCCCACACTGCCCCATTGTGCACTCTTACCAAACGTCACCGACTGACAGGCAGTACTTCTGTTGCAGTGTCCTCCTCACTTGACAAAAAACGCCCTTGGTAGTTTTGGACACAACCCGAGAACCGCTGCCCTGGGGACAGACGTGTCTTCAAGGGTCTGAGCCGCCGCTGCTCCGCCCGCTCTACAGGCAGGTGCTAACACCTGGCTCTCTGGGGCAAAGCCCTGACTGGTCGGATGTACCTGTTCCCATGGCCTGAGTGCCCTCCCAGTGGCCCACACTGAGCTGACGTGACGGTGCCGAACACGGGCTTTGGGAGATGCTCGGCGACACTTAACGTTCCATCCTCCTACAGACACAAAAAACCTGGATCCCGTTAGTAAAATGTAGCAAAATCACTCAGAAGTGGTGAGTGTGGGGCCTCTGTTATCTCTGGTTTCATCACCACTTACTCCATTACATGTTTCTAGAACCAGATTTTTAATAATGCATGTAACGGCCAACTTCCGGGTCCTGAGAGTAGTGGGCTCCCCACAGCTTGCCGGGGGTAGGGTGGCAGGGTGGGTGGTGGCGTGGGCTCTCCAGGGAGCACACCTGCTTGCTTAGAGTCCTGCTCCGGGCTGCCTGAGCATCCACTTCCCGGAGAGCCTGCCTCTGACAGTCACTGCGAGCGTCAGTGAGGACGCTGGGGTCGGCCCGCAGCACAAGCCGGACACAGAGGAAGCCCCTTAACTAGCGGCGTGAGTCTGACGCTGCTGCACGCGCCGTGGGCACGGAGACCGGCCACGGTGGCCGTGCCAGACAGAGCTTTGGGCCTTCCCGGCCCAACGCGAAGGAAGTCTGGACCTCAGGTGATCCTGGGCAGGGATTCCTTCAGGGCTGATGGCACAGGCACCTTGAGGGTACACAGGAAAAAACCCCTCCGAGTTATGGGACAGCGAGCTCACGTCACTTCTGGGTGGAAAGACATCTCAGCACACGACACAGGGTGCGGGGAGGTGTGTGTAAGCAGCCGTAGGCCCCCGCCAGACCTGAGCCTTCACACAGCCGGTCACATCCTGCCGGACGGGGACACTGGCATACCTTCACCTGGGACAGCACACAAGTCACTGCCCGAAGCGCATATTCACTTGACCAAAATTTGCCACAAAAAAAAAAAAAAGAAAACTTATGATAAAAATACATGGGTTCTTTCATCAGAAGGATCAAGAAAAACATTTTAGAAAAGAGTGAATGAGAAATGTGGGCAACTGGGGCGCCTGGGTGGTTCGGTTGAGCGGCCGACTCTTGTTTTTGGCTCAGGTCATGGTCCCAGGGTCATGGGTTCAAGGCTGTGTCTGGTTCTGCACTGAGTATGGAGCCTGATTTTCTCTTTCCCTCTCTCTGCCCCTCCCCCACTCACATAGGCATGCACTTGAAGGAAGGAAGGAAGGAAGGAACAAAGGAACAAAGGAAGGAAGGGAGAGAGAGAGGGAAGGAAAGAAAGAAACGTGGCCAAAATATGCCTAAGGAATTACACGAACACACACGATTGCGCACACGTGGTTGCACAAACAAGTGTGCACATGTGCTCCCGCACACACACACATGCTCACACATGTACATTCACACACACATGCTCGCGCCCACATGCACATTCACACACGCACATGCTCACACACACGTTCACACACACATGCTCCCACACGCACGTTCACGCACACACATGCTCCCACACGCACGTTCACACACACGCTCCCGCACACACGCACATGCTCACACGCAGCTGCCGCCGGCCCTCCAGACGCCGTGCAGGTGGCCCGGCCAGAAGGCAGGGGCCCAGGGCACCAGCAAGGCAGCCCCGCCCCACCCCCACCCCCTGGCGGCCAGGAGTCAGCGCTAAAAATAGCAGCGGCCGCGCCGGGTTAGGCTTTCTCGGAGAGGAGCATCTGAGTGACCTAAAAAGGAATTACATCCTGCACACAGGCCAGTGGAAGCCCGATGGCCAAGATAAGGGGCAGAAAGGGGACAAAAGAATTCCCGGAGGGAAAAGTGACCGCTATTTGCCAAGTCTGCCTGGAGACGCGCTCACCTCGAAGCCCCCCCCCCCCCCGAAGCCCCCCCCCCCCCCCCGGGGGGGTGCCGGGGGGGGGCGGGGGCCAGGGGGCCGCCCCCAGCTGCCCGCCGCCCTGCCTGGCCCTGCCTGGCCGCCCTCCCGGAGTCCACGTGGGGGCCGGGCCACCAGCAGGCATTTCCTCCCGCACGCCGCCCGCAGACCGCCGCAAGCTCCCGCGGCCTCGCCCGCGGGCTGCGCCGCCATCGGCCGATGAGCGAGGGGCCTTCGCGGCCCTGTGTGAGGCCGGACCCCGGCTCCCCGTCCAGGCTGGGTCTGGCCCGGCTGCCGTCCCAAGGCACGGCGCCCGAGTCTCCTCCGGGCGGCCCCGACCCTGCCAGGCCCACAGGTGACGGCAAACGCTGAAGCCGCCGCTCTCGGAGGCCGTCAGCGCGGGGAACCTGCTCCTGCTACAGCCCAGAAACACACAGCGCCGTTCAATTTTAATAATACCCGTCGCTTTGGGACATGAAAGCTCCACTCGAACCGCCTGCTTTTCACTTAAGAAGCACTCTGCCCCGACTTGGGGTGGGGGTGGGGGTCGGGGTCGGGAACAGAATCAAACCAGGTCCTTGGCAGATGCGGCGAGGCCTCCAGACCGCTTCCCACACACTCGCCTGGCCTCACACTGAGCACAGGGGTCAGTGGTGGCCACGGTCCCACGGTCACGGCACGAGACCCCTGGGCACCCCATCTGGAGACCTCCTTCCCAAGGCCCACCCACCATGGAAACTGCCACGAGGCCCCTCCTTTGAGCCACTTCCAGCCGGCGAGGGACTGTGGTCACGGGGTCCGAGAGGGTCCCTGGGGGCCAAACCGGGCTCTGGCCCTTCCCTCAGCTGCCCTCCCGTCCCTCCTGCCCTGTCCCCCCACCCAATGATCATCTCTCCCCAGCCCTGCCCCTCCCAACCTCCCCAGTCCCCCTAGGGCAGATGGTCTGTCCTGAACTCCAAGTCCACACCCTCCAGAGGCCTGGTCGGCAGGACCACCCTGTGCCCACCCCAGGAGCCGGCAGGTTCTCCTGTCTCCTCTCCGGTCTGGGCCCTAAGGACTCCTCGGGACAGTGCTCACCAGCGCTGCTGGGAACCCCGGATCCCAGAGCCAGGCAACCAAGGACTCCCCTCTCTTACCAGGTTTGCGGGCCTCACCCCTGCCCGCTGGCCCGGCCAACCTCTCCTTCCTCACGTACCCCCCACAGCAGGCGGCTGGCCCTTGACCCGGAGGGCCCGGGTCCCTCCTCCTTCCCCTGCCTGCTGCCAGGAAGCCACACCCAGACCCCTTCCCACAGCTGCCCTGCCTCGTGGACTCCGGCCACCCATCCCTCGAACCGCTGCCCCTTGCCCTGGTGGGACCCCTTGCCCCGGGCCTCCCCGCTGAGTGGCCGGCTCCACCTACGGCACCGCAGAGGCTGGGACTCCCATCCTGCAGCCGGGTCCCTTTGGCACATCTCCTGACCCCTTCATGCCTCAGCTTTCTCACCTGTAGAGTGGGGCCCAGCACAGCTGTGATTTGGGGAACACGGGCCCAGTCCGGCCGGCAGCGAACACCTACCACTCAGCAGCCACCGCCGAGTCTGCGCCATCGATCCCCAGGGACCGAAGGAAGCAACTGAAGGAACAGATCACCTGGGATCCCACGGCTAACTGCCGTCTGCACATGTGCACGTCTGTGCCGAGCGGGACACGGTAAACCACGTCCCAGGTCACTCTGCCAGGGCCACCACAGCTGTGCTATGGAAACCGATGGTGCCAGACCACCTCCGGTGGCCCTGAGGTGAGCGGCAGGGCCTGGTGGTGCTGGGATGGGCCTCCGCGGCTGTGAGTGAGGGTCTGCGCTCCCCGGCCCACCTAGGAGGGGAGTGGGCACCGGGGTCAGGGGCAGAGCCACTTGGAGGCTCTCACATCCGTGGGCGCCAGAGGCTGGATGGGTCCTCTGTCACTGTCAGCCGCAGAACTGATGCGCAGCTCTGGTGGGCGGGGAGACGGGACAGCCCACCGCAGTGGTGTGCAAAATGCACCTGGGCACGTGGCGATGTGCTGCGGACAGAAGCCACGCGGGAGGCGGCGCGAAGGGACAGAGGGCGTCCCGCCAACTGTGCTGGTTACGTGTTAGCGTCGGGACACGCTGGGTTGAATGAAACGTTATTAGGCTTGATCTCACCTATTCTTTTTCCTGTTTGAACACGGCTCCTAGAAAGTGGGATTTTGCACGTAACTCTCAGGACCTTTCTGTCGGGCAGCACAGGACTCAATCCTACGAGATAGATTTTGGCCACTTTTCTATTGTAGTTTTACAAGTTCTCCTTCACTTGTAAGAGCTCTTTACAGAATTTTTAAAAACTGCAGTTTTATTGAGTCACATCCATCAGTCTTTTCCTCAGAGGTCCTTCAACCATTTGGAGCTCAGAGAAGCCAGCCCCGTGCACCCAGAGAGAAGACGACAGTAAGCACGGAGCACGTGGCTCGGCACGCTGTGGCCCAGCAGTTCACGGCAGCCTGGCGGCCAGGACGGCACCATGGGCCAGGCCGTGTTCACAGCACCCCAGCAGTAATAACTCTGTTCTCCTTACAAGACCCCCAGGTGCGGGGACATAGACCCCCAGGTGC